TGTCACATACACAGAATATTTTCTTATATTTCATTCGATCAGATCGGTAATTTAATCAAATACTATTATATTTTCATATTTCCAAGAAGTACATTATTTTAAGAATGAAGCAATAACAAACGTTTCGCAATATTTCGAAACAAAATATTTCTTAGATACTGCACAGCATATATTCTGCGAGAAACACTATATTGTAAAACATAATATCAGAAATTTATTACGGTAACAGATTTCAATCGAATTTACTTTCAGGAACTCCATAGGAAAAATAATGTCTGATAAGCAAATAAGTCTTTTTCGACGTTTCATTCAAGTGCAGAATGAAATGCGTTTGGACAAAAATAATAAAGTTTCCGAAACATTCAAAGATTTAAGGAAATTTCTCAATTAGTTGATTTAATTACTTATTCTTGATGACATCATTTTACAAAATTTCCCGTCAAATTGTTCGTGAAGGCAGAAATAACAACAGTATAAAGTTATTTTATTGCATTGCAAATACAATAGATATCTGCATATATTTTAGAAATGCGATTAGCCATATCGAATTTGCAATAAATTAGATAGTTTGTAAATTCCAGTCACGTAAAAAGCGATCCCGTTTAATGCCTTTTAACGTATTATCCATTAATCGGCACAGTTACTAGAGTGACACTTGTCACAGTCGCAGATATGACATGAGTATTTCAAAACCTTGTTATTGAGTTTTTTTTTCTTTTTTTTCTTTTTTTTTGATAAACTGGAAGAATTTACCTAATTAATTAATAGTATCTTTATTTACGAATGCTTTATATTTAATTTTTAAGCTTATGTTGAATTTATCTAACTTATTTAATGGCATCTTATTAACTGAAGTTAAAATGCTTACTATAAAAGCGAAGATGAAAAGTTTCACTAACGAATGCTTTGCTGGGAAGCCGCACTTGGAGAATCTGGTCAACCAAAGACAAGCGAGTAAGATTGCTTACCTCTGGTTGAAATCCTCTTGTATGAGTGGTTTTATGTTTTTACATAAGTAACGTGATTACGAGTGCTTCTATCAGAACGCCGTCTATGAAGGCATCCCTCCCTTTAGGCAGGTAGACCTAGCGTGCTTTGCCGTAATCTAATAAATCTTAGAATAATTTTGAACACCAGAACAGAGTCAACATCTTAACCACGATAAAGGAAAGCTTGAAATAAAATTCATATTAATTACAAATTATTTTGTTTAAATTCCTCCCGACACTGTTATTTAATAAGTTTTAGAACTCTAGTCTAAATATAGGAGAATATGTCTTCTTATTTTAGGAGTATACAGCATCAACTACAAAGTACGCTATTTAATTCCCTTTGAACAGAGAAGTATTCAAAGAATGCATGTAATACTTTCAATTCTTGCGAACCACCACGGGTTTGCAATATTACTGTTTAATAAAAAATTTAAAAAAAAGTTTAAATGGTATTTAATAATTAATAAGTTACTGATTCATAATGATAAAATATTCTCTTAGGATAATCATTTATCTTGAATGCACATAATACTTTTATTAATAGGTTAACAGCCTGAATTCTTCTATACGGCTGCTTAACTCGCCACTGCTCGGATTGGGTCTTTGAGACCCAGGCAAATGCGTTTTTTATTATTTCAGACAGATGGCAGCATCAGTACTGCTGATGTTCCATCTACCTTCCTATCCTTAGTACATCATTTAGCCCGTGCCTTGCCAATAAAGCAGGTTCTTTCAGACGGGAGTTATTTCATCGTATTAATCGTCTTGGGTCCGTGAGATCCAAACCGTCCAAAAATATTTTTTCCTAAATTTCATTTTATTTTATTTTTCTAAATTTGTGTACTGAGTGGTACTCAATTTCTGTTTCATGTATTTGCAGGACTTTATTTTCAAAAATTTAAATTTCAATAATCCTGATGATTTGGCCGCAGCACTACTTTTGTTTGAGGAGTTTGTTCGGATTCCAAGATGATGTGACTTTAGTTTCATATGTTCGAAAGCGGAGAAAAACAATGATCCCCTTATCATCCATTAATAATGATGACGAAATTGACGAAAGTATGGATGACAAGAAACCTGAAATCATAACGTTTTATAATGAAACAAAAGGAGGTGCTGACTCTGTCGACAAGAGAGTGGCATTTTATAATGTTGCTCGAAACACGGAACTTGGTCAATGGTCGTTTATTATGCCGTACTAAAAGTACATGCTATAATTCATATTTAATTTTCAAATCAAATGCACCTGATAAGGCTGAAGTCAAACACAGGAGAACATAAAAAAAACACACACACTCATATTCGATTTGACAGAAGACCATATCAAAGAAAGAGCAATGTCAAAAAACATTTCAAGGAACATCCATATTGCTGCACAAAAATTGTCAGGAATAGTTGGAGAATTAGAACATCGAAATGAAACCGGAAAAAGGGCCCGATTTGCCTATTGTAAGGAGGGGAAAACTCAATACATGTGTAAGAAATTCAAAAAATATGTGTGTTTAGAGCATGCTGCATTTTTTTTTTTCAGTGAATGTAAAAGTGAAATATAAATCATCGTATTGAGTTACCTATTCTTCAACAATATAAAATACCTTTATCAAATGCTTACGATGCGAGTATGATATATCTGATGTAAAGAACACACAGACAGAATCCGTGCATTTACGGCAATTTTTTTTATCTATTCACTCACGGGGTAGTAATAAAAATTAAAAAGATTTTTTATGATATTTAATATGTATTGATTCAAATGATAAGAAATCCTTTTTGTGTAGTTGTTCTTGCTTTATTTATGACCTAAATTCCATGATTATTAATACACGACCGGAGTCAAACAATTATCTTACCTTGTCGAATTTCAGATACCCAGTTTCAGGTTTCCTGTAAACTTTAGCTCACACTAACGTTGTTCATAGTTATCGCGACCTTTATCAGAAATTGTTTTAGCTAATTAACGCGTCACCTTAATGACATTTGTTCCCCTTGCCTTAATTATCGCATCGACATATTCCTTCAGCTTTGAGCTTAATTCATGACACCCTTAATAGAATTAATGCAACAATCAATGTCTTTTTTCACTAAAAGTGCTTCATTCCTGCTAGGTAGCTCTCAAACTGCCGATTAAATTTCCGACACGTGTTCGCTAATACTTAAAGCTTCATAATAACATTAATATAATTACTCATTAGTACCAAATTCAATTTTAAAAAATTAGATAATTTTGATTTACTATCAGATTTATTTCTTGTCTTTTGGTAATAGATTTTATGAGGTAAGAACGTATCTGGAGAATCTTAATCTGGAAAATCTGGCCTCAATGTATCCGGAGAAAGAGTTCAGAGATTTTTGTAGCTGGAAAGGTATAAATAATTTTCGTAACCAGTTCTTCAAGGAATATAATAAAAGAAGTATTTATAAGGAATAGGCAATCATAATAAAATAGTTTAAATGTAAATATGGTTATAAATTACACGAAAACATTATATAATATATATATGTCAGATTTTGAAATCATCGCGAGCAATTTTATTAAACAAAAATGTTACTTTACATTTTACTCGTATTAAAGAAATGCTTTTTTATTCTCAATGAAAATATTTAAATAATTTGGCACATAGAGGATAAAAAATAAATTATATTGACTGCTAATTATAATTAAATAAATAAAAAATTAACGAATCAGTTTTTTACACTTTTCAAGAAGAAGTAAGTTAGAAAAGAGAAAAATTGTGTTATTTTGTCAAAATTTAGAGATAGTGTGAAAGCATCGCATTTATATTTTATGAAATTAAGCACGTTTTGCTTTCGGAAACAAATTTAAAATTTAAGTTTTATGTCATTATAGTCTCATTGACATTTTAATCTCATTGAAACATTACGTTCTTCACTAGTATCAACACTAAGGTTGTTAACAATATGCCAAATTCGCAATTTTACTTAAATTACTTTCATATGAAGCATTAATCATTAAACATTATTCTTATATGAATTCGTATATGAATGGATTATTTAGATGCATTTTTAGGGAAAACAACAAGTCATTGCTTAAATATTAAATATTAGTCATCAAATAATTATTCTATTATTTAATCTAGAAATCATAGCATATCATTCTGCACATAAGTCAATATTCATATTTGGAAACTGATAGAATTTGCATAAGAATAATTTATGTATGAAATTTGGTATTAAAGTAAAGCAAAATAAACATGTAAATTTCAAATAATATTAATAGTAATGAAAAGATCAAATTCTAGTAAAAAATTTATATTATTCTATCATTGGAAGCTCAAAAATTGTTGCACATCTATTCTATACTTGTGACGCCTATTCATCTGAGAAGTGCTCCCTTTGTGCAACTTGATTGTAAGTAATGATTCTTCAATATCTAACAACAAAAGTGCTAGACAGACACATAGCGTTGATTTATTACTTGTGAAAAACACAGAAATTGAAGAGTCAAATTACACATGCTTATCTATTCAAAACAAATCACTATCTCTGAAAAAGGTATAACTTTAAATACTTGGAAAGAAGCTAATTATAATTTATTTTTCCAAATAATGAAGTATTAATTTAAAAGGATTACGGTAATATTTTGACAAAAATTACTTTGATAGATATGACAAAGCACAAAGGTTTATTAATTTATGAATAAAACTAATTTTCGAATTAATAAAAAATTGTGATATGCACATTCCTACTATTTATAATAAAATGCTTTCTTTAAGATACAGTTTTAAATAAACAAAAAAAAAAAAAAAAAAAAAATGTTAGCAAAATCAGAAGCTTTTACTCAGGACGAAACAATTTTCATCGTTTTTGTTCGTTATTTTAACATTTTTTAAATAATACAGTGTTTCGATGTCTAAAGAATTATATGAATAAAGCACTTAATTATAAAAATAAATTAAAACTAATACATGTTATTTATATTTGTAAAATAAGTTTAATTAATTCTACCTTAAATGTATTATGAACCTGTAGTATATAATTAACATCAAATACTTTATATATTCCTTCATTATCAGCAATTATCAGCAATTTATATAACAATTTTCATCAAAATAAACAAAGAATATGTTATTTTAATATGAAATACATTGATATCATACTATTTTTCATGTGCATTGAGCTGCAATACAAACTTTATTATAAAATGTTTTATATACATAGTTAGTTTTGATAAATAATAAAAATTTGTTACAATTCTTAATAAATGCAAATTTTACATACCATACTGTTTAAAGATATACCCTTTCTCATAAACAAGCCAAATATGGACAGTTTAAAATTACAATATTTTACTCAAAATAGGTTATAGATATAACTTCAGTTGCAAAATCTGATGACGAAATATCTGCCACTCGCCAATATGTGAAGGCAAAGCCATTTACATATTGTCTAATATATTAAACTTAGGCCAGTTTTATTAGAAAGAAATGATACAACAAACTGGTAAGGAAGAAGGAGTTTTCAAAAAAATTTAATATAATCGACCTAGTTTATACAGGAAACAAGAATGCAGCTGTAACGAGCAAGAAGCTACAATGGTTTGAATTTTCATGCTCATTTCCATGCAGGTTTGCCATCACGGATAAGCGAGTAAAAGTTATATGACACTATTATTCTATTAATAGTCGTAAAAACCAAGCATTTGCTGTTTTTGTCCAAACAGGACAAATATTGCATTTGGTTACAGAAATGAATAATAAAAGAAAATTTGCGAAACGCCTTCACAGAAATTCTAAAGAACGAAAAAAACAATTTAGAAAATAATTATAAATGAACAGCCCTCAATTTGTTTTTTAAATATATGTAAAACATGAAACCTGGGAAGTTAGCCATCATTACAGTTTAACTAAACTCCAAATGCATCTCTTAATTTTCCGTATTAAATGATACATTTTTAGTAAGTCCATGGCGACCTGTATAGTATCTGCTTCATATGTTTTCATTATGTTCACTGAAGGCTTGGATAAATTTGGTCCATTTTAAGGACAGGAAATTTATCAAATGCATAGATCATAGGATCAGTTTCTTTCTTCTCGTCTAAGACGTGGGGAAAAGAAACAAATCCTAAGATTTCCGTGTTCTTTACTTTGCTGCTTATATATTTACTTAAAAGATTCGAATATATAACTAAATAATTTTTATAGCTTACTTTAAAAGATTACATAAATTTTCCTTAGTATAAAATCCTGTATGGCTGACGTAAACAGGTTTCATTAATGGCACATGAATAAGTTTGATATAAAGAAATGCAAAGCATATATAAATATACATAATATTCTGCTTTGTGTAATAAACATTTTGATTTTCAAAGAAAACTCACTCTATATGCAAACTTATGAAGGCTAGCAAGAAAACCGCATGAATTAATTCTACACTTCTCGTCAATGTGTGCGGCTTAGAGCACTTATGTCCTGTTTTCGAGTCAACTTCATTTTCTAACTATCATCTTGTGCTTGGAAAAGGAATGAGACCAGTCCCAAGTAGCATTTCCTTTCAAACGTATTCCGGCTCAGAAAAGCTTTGGTCCTTTGATAAACTTCTATCGTAGTCATCATTATAATATTCATCCTCTATGTCTTCGGAATGTTGGGTTCTGGAATGGGATACAGCCAAGGATTTCTGGTAACTCAAGAGCTGCCTTTCTAAGCTGTAGTTCTCTAACTGGAGAGCAGTGATTTCACGCCTTAAATAGAAAATAAAACCTATTTAGATATTTTAATTACGCCTTTTAATGCATATTTAAACCCTGAAGAATTTATTAATTCAGAAGTCAAACAACAAAATATGCATAATATTTGTTGTTGAAGAATTTACCTAAATTATAACACAGAATTACGATACGATGATATATTATATTACATTACAGAGAAAGTTTAAAAAAAATGCATATGTCTTAAACAGTTAATCGCAGAACAAAAGTTACAATTATAGAAAAGAAGAAAATAATATAAGCAGTTAGATTGTAAATAGCAACTGCATTAATCAAGGGACTTCTTTTTAATAAAAATAAACGATATTAAATATTGTATATGAATGGCTTCTAAAATTTCTGATTGCACATTAAAACGAAGCGTTTTATGCAAATAATGATAATTAAATAACTACTTCTCATGTTACATCAGCAGCTACAGTGAATTCAAGAACATTATCTCCTTTCATGAGGAGAGGATGTGGTCTTCAAACATTTAGTCCTGTTTTTAAAGCTCCATACTATACCGAACGTTACTGGTTAGCACCAAAAAGGAGAGGTTGCCCTGAGAGGTGGATGGACCATCCACTCACATAATTAAGAACAGGAAGATGAATGATATGATGTGACAAATTTTGGTCGAGGCGTTATCTGAACGGAAAGATGTGAACAGAAACTGAGTTCGTATGTAACTTTCCTCCCAGACATATGATCTTCAGAACGCAATTTAGAAGTATGCCAGTCAACGTCAAGGGTAAAAGTTTAATGAGCATGAGTAACCGATGCAAATTATTCGTAGCAATGTCCAATTTATTAATCGTACTAATGAAAACTATTTTAAGTCACACTCCTTTATATAATAATCATGCAATGCAATCAACTGCATAACGTGTGTACGGCGTTAAGCTGTTACATGTTTCGGAATCATGCATGCATTTTTGAGATTTAAACCAGCCATTAAAATGCAGCTTTTCAATCTTTTATTTTTTTTCCCTCATCAGGGATGGAACAAAATTTTGGATTTTTAGGAACGAAGGTTTCTCTTTATAAACTTTGTTATATGTATTGTTTATAAACTCTAAGCAGCTAGAATTGTTTTATAATCGAGCAGCGATTGATAAACTCATTTAAATTTCAAAATGAGTAAAAAACGGTAAATTTTTCAAAATATCTTTAGGTTTTTCTTCATAAAAGAATATTTAAGAATACAACTAATGAAAGTTTATATTATATTTATGTAAGAAAGTAAAATATTGCTTAAAGAAATTTTTTATTTATAAAGGATTGATAAAATATTCTTTTTAAGGACAAGAGGTATTTAGCAGAGTTTGCAAGGATACGAATGTTTAGAAATGGAAACTTCTTACTTTCTTGATAGCATACGGATAATGTTTTTAAAAGAACAGAACATGATATGAAAATAACAACAGTCAAGAGCATCATATAAATGGTTTTTGCAGCTAAGTAATTGAAAATTCAAGAAAAAGGGCTCGTTCCTATGATGTAAACTTTTATAAAGTGAAATATGTTGCTTTTGTCATTTACTCCTTCATCTCAGGAATGTATGTGGGGGGGGGTAAGAAAGCTAGAAAACAATATGGTTAGTAACTCATTTTCACTTAATTAAATAAAATAAATGCGATAATAAAAAAGGAATTTTTTTATTACTTTTTAGCTACAAAATAAAGTTAAGCGTAAAATATTATATTTATTGTTAAATAGTTTTATTATGAAAATTAACTTTTGTTTAAAACACATAATATTGATAGCACTGAATCACAGAAAGTTGTACCTCAAATAAAACAATGATTCGTTACTAATTTGGGTACACTGATTGAAAACGTAAAAGTGTTTCACTAATTCAAGTTTTTGAGATGCATGAATGTGCAGTTAATAATAGACAGGCTTTGGTCATGAAATACTTCCTCAATAACAAGCATTGATTTTGATCTCAATTTCTCTTATAAATCACACAAATAGTATGCCGAATATTCTTACTTTCCTTTATGGATTTGCAATTTTGTAAGAAATAGTGTCGGAAGCATATCAGATTGTAAATTATCAGTTTAGAGGGATATGAAGTAGTTTGGCGAATTTTAACAATTTCACGAGTATATTGAATGGGGAAAGTTAAAATTAAACTTAAAAATTAGGGTTTCCAAGGTCTTAATCTATTTAATTTCTTCGTAAAACTTAAATTTAAAAGACAAATTTTAATTAACCCGAAATAATAACTGATTTTTTATCTTCTCTCTTTCATTTTTAAACACGGCAAACTTGATTAGGAAATGCGATTTTAATAACATGTATATACGAAGGTTAAGTCTAAATTTCCTTTTTAATATAATCAGGAAGAAATTTTCAAAATAATAAGAAAATGAAATGAAAGTTTTTATTTTAGTTCACGAAAGCGTATATTTTGTTGAAGAAACGGAAATGAGGAAATGAAACTACATCCATTTTTAAACACCGGAAGGCATTTTTCCCAGCCATTTCGTAAAAGTTTAACGCATCAAGCAAACAATGCAATACTCACTTCATCTGATGGCCATGTATTCGACAAACGTCATCATATTTGTGATAGAGGGCGCTGAAAAGGAGCATAGATTCCAGCCATTCAATGTGAATCGTCAGGTGCGTGTTATTCTCTAGATAGGCACTATTCATTTCCCGGACCTAAGAATAAAGAAATAGAACAACTTACTGCATTGATCCAACAGATAATTACAATAATACAAATGTAAGGAAAACGAATGACATAGGATAAAACCAATATGTTAAATATTACAAACACTTTGCGCTGTTAAGCAGCTTCCTGAATAATAATTGGTTTACAAGCTGTAAATACTGAATGAACCATTTCTCTGTTTCCTTTGCTATGGAGCCAATCCTGAAGATATGATCACACACATAATGTTTGAAAACGGCATTAACAAGCTTTGTTTCGTTAAATATTAACCCTTCTTAGGATATTTGAAGGTACAAAATTTCTTAAGGCAGACATTTTATATAGCGGCTTCAACATTATGGTTAAGAAGATTTTATAACAGTGAAGTCGAAAGTTTTATATAATTCCTACAGATTAAAAATATCGGTTATTAAAGTATTCATCATTTAATGAGTCTAAAATAAAGATACTCATCTTGTAAAATTCTAGCACCAATTATTCAATAAATATAACTGACTGTGTCAGTTTATATGATGCCTGTTATCAACATAACGGAAGACGTTTAGTGCAATTATAAAACAAAAAATGCTCATTTTGGCAATTAACGGTCCTGTTTTGGATAAAACCTAATTTGTGGTAAATTCGTGGTAAAGTCTTGAATATATTTAATAAGCATATTATTATCAATTTTTGATATCGACTACAGTTTATGAATACAGTATCCGACGCTTATTGAAAATATTTCCGTTCCAAGCACATTTGAGTTCCGTAAGCGGCGATTTTTTATTAGCAAACTGCGATATCAGTCTTAACTATAAATAACAACTATCCACTTATCAGTCCTAAAATAATAATTAAATGTTGATGCTAGAATTAAACTGTTAACGCAGCTTGGGAATTTATTATTATAAAATGTTTTTACAAAATTAAAAATAAATTTTTTAGAAAAAAGTATTACAAGAATAACGTTGTTGTTGTGACTTATCTCACTTGGCTAACAGTAATATCAGAACAAATTCACGAAATTCATCGTGGCAAAGAGTAAAAGATTGTGCCTGTCGTCAGCAAGAGCCCTGAGCACCTTACAGGTGAGAATACGACTTTGCCCAGTTCCGTCCTCAGTTTTCTGGAAAGAACACCAGGTGGATGAGTCCGATGGTCTCCCATACCTCTTCCCCCACACCAGCCTCTCGAGAGGGCTTTTGGTTCGAAGCATATTTAGAGAGCCCCCTGCCTCACAGGCGCTATTCATTTACAAACATCTAAGCATTCTCCGGGATTCGAACACGGGCCTTTCGGTACGGCAGTCAGCATCGCTAACCACTGTCCTGGTTGGGCGGCCATCACTATCCCGGAACACTGAAATTTTTACTTTTACAAACAATATCCGCCTTTCTTTCGTACTATTCCTCAAAAGTTCTTTACTTGTGTTCTCAATTTTTAAAACTGCTGTTAGCCTTTCTGTTTAAGAGTTTTTCTTAGAATCTGTAATGCTTTCCTACATTGTATTGGTGTTGGCAAATCATCGCCTTCTTCAGTATCATTCTTGCTATTCGTTTTTGCAATTATTTGAACATTTCCTGAAACAGTTTTTAACCTATGTTTTAAACCCTGCATTGACTGACTGATATCTTGCTGTGACTATAATATGCAAGGCATGTAGCAGAGATATCAATTTAGTCACCTCTTTCGGAAGCAACTTATGTGTAAGGAGTAATTTATGAGTATCATACTAGTGTGTAAGCAGTAACTTATGTGTAAGCAGGAACTTATGTATGATCAGTAGGGAGCAATTCATGAGTACGTATTAATTTATGTACAATGCAACAGAATATATATGTAATGCAACGGTATAACGCAACTATGCACAATGCAACTATGTAATATAATCCTTGACTGAAACAGCATGCTGTTTCTTACTCCGCACTGAATAACCAAATATGTGTAAACTGTGATCCGAATGTTGCCATATGTACAATCCTATATGTAATAATGTATCATATTAATGTGTAACCAGAATTTTAAGTGCAAGCAATAACTTATATAAGTAGTAATTTATGTGTCATCAGCAGGCAGTAACTTATGTGTAAAGTAGCAGTTATGTATAGTGCAACAGTATATGTGTGTAATGCAAAGGTGCAGTGCAACTATGTAGTATACTCTTTAACTGAAACAGCATTTTGTTTTATATTCCGCACTGAATAACCCAATATGAGTGAAGTGCGATCTGAATATTGCCATATGTACAATGTATTATGCAATTGTGTATCACATTAATGTGTAAGCAGTATTTGTATCATAATAATGTGTAATCATGTATCAAATTAATGTGTAATGTAGCATGTATATGTAATTCAGCATCATATTAATGTGTAAGCAGTATTTCATGTGCAAGCAGTAATTCAGGTGCAAGCAGGTACTTATGTGTATGCGATAATTTAACGAATAAAGCAGAATTTATATGTTATCAGTAGGCAGTGATTTATGAGTAAGTAGTAATTTATGTATTATGTAAAGTAGCAAGTCTTATGCTCAAGTTTAGGTTAATGTTATGTGTCAAATATCATATGTCATGTAAGTTTTATGTTTATGTCATATCAACAATGTAACTAATGTAAACCAACCAATATGTAAACCAATGTCACTCTGAAAAGAAATAGCCCCTGTACGGCCATGTAAACCTTTTGTGAAATATCAATAAACTCCCGGTGCGCCCTTATAGGCCCCAGGGAGTTGTTGCGTCTGGATAGGGAAGGGCGTGGGACATATGCCTGTTTACCTCTGTTAGATGCCAGGCGTCCCCGTCCTCCGTCACCTGTCCCCTGCAATCTTAAATAATTCAATTCTCTTTATCATTTTCTGACCACCTTCCTGTAATGATATTTGAAAGTTTTTATAACACTTCAGCATAAGGCTAAATATTAAAAATTGTATTTGCAGAAAGAGATACTAATATTTTCCGAAAATATTAGAAGAATTTCTGCTGTACAGTTGAATAATTACAAAGATATGTTTTTCTTTTTGAGTTTACTGTTTCATTTCAAAAGAAAATCAGTACAAGTACTATTTGTCATTCATGAATTCTTTCTGTTGTAATAATTCAAAGGTAAATTTTTGGATCCTACTAAAATCGAGGTATTGTGATTTCTACTGATATATTACTTTATATACCACTGATATACACTTTATAAACCACTGATATATTCTTTCTTATTGGATCCATATTACATATTTATTGCACAGAAACACATCCTATGACTTTCATTCATTCAACTATCCAAGAAAACGTATTTCACCCGCATGATGATATGATTTTTTTCTCCCCATTCAGGTTTCTTGTAAACAGTGCTATTTCTCTCTTTCTATTTTGTAAGCCAAGCGTCAATTAATACAAAATTATATCCTAGCATTTTCGGGAATTTCACAGATTTTATAATGAAACGAATTCTAAAAATTCGAAGATATTTTAGTCTTATACTTAAAAACCATTCTAGAAAAGGTTTTCAACGTTTCTGGATTTTCTGGTTGTTTTCCAGCTTCTTTGAGACATTTGATTTTTTATCAGTATTTCACCAGTTTTAATTCCTAAGTAAACTGCACAATGCTAGTTGAGAAATTTTCAGTTTAAATGCAGTTTCTTTGTGGCTGCAGTTACCAAAAACATCAAGATTTTTTTAACAATTTATTCTTCTCCTTCAAGTTTAAATCTTTTCGCATAGGAATTTTCGACAAGCGCACAAACAAATTAAAACCATGCTTTTCCTAAGATTTATTCCATTTCAAAACTCATCTTTCAAGCCAGAAAAAAGTTTGCTCTTTATCTGTCAACTCAGTCTGCCACTTTATGATTATAGGTATGGTGAATGTTTTCTTTGCTTTTTTCTCAGCTTACAATTTACCGCTCTTTCCATTCAAAGATAGTTAGTGTATGATAGTCCTATGAAGCGTGTCATGAATTCGAGAACTCTCTGTGAACAGAATTTGTGTACCTTGAAGAGAAGATTTTGAAAATGAAAGTCTTAAAAGATGGGATGCAGAATTTGCATTTCCACCTCTTACTAGTTGGTATTCGAGAATGAACAGTCACTCACTCATTTACTATGGCTCTGTCAGTCTATAAAATATCGGATTGCCTATCAATCCCATAGGATTGCTGTTAGTAAACTCAAGATGAGAAAGTTCTGTCTTTTAAGCTCGGCGAAGTTCTGTCTAAGAAAATTCTGTCTTTAAAAGCGAACAAAAAGGTTTAAAAACAGTGACTAAGTGATAAAGCACCTTCGGCGGTGAAGGTAGAAAATTTCGGTCAAACACTTTTTTATTGAAGCGCTTGATACCAGAAAGCGCTTTATACCTGACTAATTTATAAATTAAACGAATGAACTACAAACAATTTGGTAGGAGTTGGATATTCTGATCCCTAAAAATAATGAGTCTTTTACCGATTTGATATAAGTGGTGGAGATGAGTTTAATAAACGGCGGTGTCTCTATCGATTACTTTATATTGGTTTGGTTCTTAAAACTCTGAAGCGGCTGATTTTATTAACCAGTGAGTTTAGTAAGCGTTCGATACTATATATACAGAGTGAATCTGAACAAATGGGCAAAACTTTAGGGGCTGATAGAAGGCAGCTATACGAGCAATATTCGTCATAGAATGTAGGGTCGGACGCAAACGGTGAGCCGCCAGGTGGCATTTTAAATGGTATAAAAAGGCATCCAACGACATTTTTTTACCGTAGATTACCAGGGCGAAGGCTGGTTATCCGAACCTCGAAATTTTCAAATTTCCACAGCAATGAATTGGTCAAGGTGGTCCCATAGCTTGGCCACCCGGATCACGGAATCTCTTACGTTCGAACTTTTTCCTGTGGGGCCATATGAAAAGCCTAACGAATATAGATCTTACTTTAATAGGGCTTAAGCCCTATTAAAGTAAGTGTAAAGAGTCTTTTCGTATGATGCATTTTTAACTGGATTCATAATCATTAATTTTGGAGGAATTTTTA